TGTGTATGTGTGTTTGTGTGTGCATTATAGGGGAAAGAATTGTGCTGATGTATTTGAGATGTCAGCTGGCCTTCATCTCCAAGATCAGCTATTTTTATTCATGAGTATTGTATTTTTTAAAAATGGAAGATGGCAAACGATAGGGGGGAAAATAAAACAAAGACAGTATTTAATTAAATTCTTTATGAACACTCGGCTGCGTGCTTTTAACTTTTAGAAATGTTCTCTCGTTCCCTGCCGTTTTACGGGTTGCGTTCTCCTTTGTTCTATCAGAAACATAAAACCAAGAGCTGCCAGCTTCATGCTCAAGTACCACTACTGCTGCATGTATTGTCCTAACAATACCGCTTGCTACTGGCCTATGCAGCAGAGTCTATTCCATGCTATGTAGTCCTTTGTTGTGTGGGAACGCTGCCAAAAATGGCCCGTCGTTCCCTAGTACCTTATTGATTGTGAAGGCCAAGCTCTAAGTTCGTTGTGAAATTTCCAGTGTTTCGGTCCGCTGGTCACCGTTCCACCATTGTTATCGACCTGTCTTCTTATAGATCTAGAATCTACCCCGCGGTTAGACGTCAGTTACCTGACCCACTTAGCACCTGCGTGCGCACTGTGATCGTCCGCTAGTTTGAAGATCCAGCGCGGGTAGTGGTGCGCGCAAGTTGCTTTGTGCCAGGCTTTGCAGTGGATGATGATGTCCAGTATCGATCTTTCGCGTCGATCTTCTTATCTCCCTTCGGAATTGCCATAGCAACAGTTTGTGACCTCACATCATCAAATATGGCGGCGTGAATAGAAGCCGGAGAGGAAGTTTTCTGACATCTCCTCCGAAATGAGGATTGCTGGAATTGTGTGGTTCATTGTGGCAACTTTGCCCCAAGCCCTAGCTAAATGGCGAGAGGGGGTCATCGACACGGATCGGGTAGGGTTGTTTTTTATGTTCGCTCAGCTGAGAAGTCGCCGCGTACGACCGTAGATATCTAGATTCTAGCTAGTTAGTATAAGTATAGTATAAAGGCAAGGCTAGATCTAGATTCTAGATCTAGTTACTAAGACTAAGTAGCTACGAAGAGGCCTAGATCAATGTATAATGTATAATTTTGTTTTACTCTTTGACTTCATCATTGAAAACGTTGAAGCAGCTCTTTGGTCCTTTGGTAAACTGTACTATTTTTACTACCATAGTCCATAGAATCTAGATAATATAATAGAACTTTGGTTTTTGCGTGGACAGTTGAGTGAAGAAAGAACCCAAACTTCCTTTTTCGAAGTGCATTATTACTTAGGGACAAAGATTAATAATGATAAGAAGCTTGTCTTGTTATTGAGTTTTGATTCTAGCCTAATTAAATCGTAGTACTCTTATATGACATAGGTGCATCATGTTATTTTTAAGTTTCTTTATTTGTCTATTTGTTTTCTTTTATCTGTTGAGAGAGAGAGAGAGAGAGAGAGAGAGAGAGAGAGAGAGAGAGAGAGAGAGAGAGAGAGAGAGAGAGAGAGAGAGAGAGAGAGAGAGAGAGAGAGAGAGAGTATGTAGGCCTATCATACATATATGCCTATCTATGTATGTGTGTGTGTTTGTGTGTGTTTGTGTGTGTGTGTGTGTGTGTGTGTGTGTGTGTGTGTGTGTGTGTGTGTGTGTGTGTGTGTGTGTGATTGAGATAGAGAGATAGCCTAGTGTGTATGTGTGTGTGTGAGAGAGAGTGTTTGTGTGTGAGTGTGTGTGTGTGTGTGTGTGTGTGTGTGTGTGTGTGTTTGTGTTTGTGATAGAGATATAGTGAGAGAGAGAGAGAGACAAAGAATGTGTGTGTTTGTGTGTATGTGTGTGCGTGTTATTGTGTGCAAGTGTGTATAAATGTGTGAATGTTTGTGCATGCTTATATTGATTTGCTGGTGATATTATATAAGTATAGGGGCCTAGTAATTTATAAAACCTTACGTATTTCAAGGTTTTTCAAGCTATCCTAATTACGATTTACTTCTGTTTGTTTTTATCAGCAATCAGAATAGTTGTATTCATTTAATGATGGTTGCTGTGTTTACGCAAATTAAGATACAGGCTTAAGTTACTTCAAAACAGTGTTATGGGAAAAGCAATATCATATCTACCCAGAATGTACAAAGAGCAACTATAGTAATAGGTACATAGAATGACAATGTTCAAAGTGTTTATGTCACTGTCAGACAAATGGATTTTAAAAACATAGAAATTCACTCTTAATTTTGGAAATTAGGTTGTTGTAATTAAGTGTAGGCTACTGGTTGTGTAATGTAAAAGTTCATGAAACTGCTACTTTTGACAATAGAAATACTTTTGATTTTATTGTTTCAAAAGCCTAGTTATGGACAAGCATGTGTTTTTTCTTTTCAAGAAACCTTCTCTGAATCTCTGAATTTAGATATTTTCTATATTTTGGAAGCTATTCCTCACCCTTTGATTCTTGTCTTTACCAGTGCTTTTATAGGGATATTTAGAGAGCATTTTAATCTTTTTATTCCACTACAAGCTTGCATTAAACAGTCCTTTCCTTAATTATTGCTTACTGTATAAATTCTCTATGAGGTAAATGTATATCATTAGTGTAATTTGGGACAGATTTTGGTAGAATTTTTAAAGTATGTTGCTCAAAGCAAAATATGCGTTGCTAATTCATGATATTAGTTTAGTGTTGCGAGATAATGAGACTAGCTTTTGACTGTAATTGTATACACCTGGAACTAAATTGTAAGAGGAAAAAAAGACACATGCTGCAGTCAAAGAATTTTTATCAGTGCTGAATGGTAACAGCATTTTTAACAGTTGACAGTGCCCAAGCACATGTGGATGAAGGCTTGTAGATTGTTTTCCTGCGTGAATTCTGAGAATAAATCATTATCATCAAGTGTCAGATCTGTGACAGACATTAATATTGGTGATCATGTGGTTCTCCGTTCATGTTTCTTTGCTCAGATGTTCTAAACAGCTACATTATCCTGATCCTGCCTCGCTTTTCTTCAATTTTTCTCCTGAGTGCTAAATGTTCAGGGCCTTTATATAGGCCTATCTATTTAAGTGTCCCAGAAACTGCTTTTGTCATTTCCTGATTGTTTTTATCTACAAGTTGCTCCCAAGGGCTTTTTCAAGTACTAGCCTACCTCATTTGATTTCTTTTCTTTCTAAGCTATTCCCAGAAATCTCGTAAACAACTAAATTTCTGTTGCCTCTTCTTTTCTTTGATTGCCTTTAGTGATCTGAGAATACAACAGTGTAGAAAAAACTAATGTCCAGAGAATTAATGAATTTGTGTGTGTGTGTGGGGGGGGGGGGGGGGGGGGTGTCAGCTTGAATTTGTGTTAACTAATTAGAGCTAGTCTGTTTTCAATTAAGTGAAGGAGAAATGTCAAGTTGCATTTTTACATGATAGGGTTAATAATGAGAAGTCTTGTGTAGTATTCTTTAATATGATTTGAATTCAAGTAGACAGGGTTTTATTTCAGTGAGTAATCATATTTTTATTTCTGAAAAAAAAAAAGAATTCTTTCTTTTCCCATATTTTTGTCTGCCCCAGTCATAATCAGTCATAAGACGCAATGTGCTCCTTGGCGCTACGAGGCGCGAAAGGCTAAAAAGTGACTTCCCATCAATTTTTTTGTTTCTTGGATCTATTGAAAGTTAATATCTTCTGCTTCATTTAAGATCAAAATACTTACTTACTTTGTACTTTTTCATCCTCTGTTGCCGTTAAGCGTGGAGGGGAGATATGCTGTTTTCTATGGTAGGCCAGCTCCGCAGCTCTTTCAGTTGTGATGTTATGTTTTCTTAGGGTTTCCTTGACACCCTCGATCCACCTTTTACGTGGCCTTCCTTGAGTGCTTGGTGTTGTAAGCTCTCGAGGCTGGCTGGTCTGGTGACATGCGTAACAGGTGGCCAAACCATTTTATCCTCTGTCTTTCTATGTAATGCAGGCAGGACTCAGTGCAGATAGCTGCTCTTACTTCTTCGTTTTTCTGCCTGTCTCGTCTTGTGATGTTAAGGTTTTTGCGGAGACATTTCATTTCGCATGCGGTGATTTTGCTGTCATGGGTTTTGCTTAAGGTCCACGTCTGGCACAGATAACATAATGTTGGTTTGAATATTGAGGTGATAAGCTGTCTCTTTGTGTCCATGGAGATGTTTGGATGAGATAGGAGGGGTGCGAGCTGGTAGGTGACAGCGTTGGCTGTCAAAATAAACAACTATAATCGACTATAAATATATTATTTTGATTTATTTTGGAGATGTGTGTGTGGTTTGTGGTGAGCTTGGGTGAAAAGATAAAGAAATTTTGACCTCAGACCCTTTCCAACATTTGACCTGCTGGTGTATAGCTGTGAGATTATTTATAAATAGAATCATTACCTCATGGCCTCATTGCTTTAACTTCCTTCATTCACCCATATTTATAGATTTAGAACCCTTTTCGAGCATGAATGGTCTGAAATATAAACAACTTAGAGTCACTATGAACCACTGAGGGCTCTGCGATTGGTTAAATGGGGTACAAAAGATAACTCCTAGCCCACTTCAAGTTTGTTTACGTAGACAGCGCAACTGTGTAAGCGTACCCTAGCTGCTAGCTCAGTTATGAACTGTTGATCTTTCAGTTTTACTCTTCGATTGACTTTAAAAGTTCGTTTTTGTTGTGCTTTAGTGGGTTTTTTAAAGATTGATCTTCCTCTAGATCTCCCAAGGTGGACTCCTTACCAAGAGGCCTCCGAGAGCGGTCTATGTGCGCGTGTGTGTATGTGTGTATTTGTGTGTGCAATCATCGTGTTTGAGGCAATAAAATACTGATTTGTTATGATCTCACAGTCTTGAAAAAACAAATTAGGCTCCATTTCTATGTTATAGCGATTATACTCTGTTAATGTGCTTTCGTGGTTTAAGTCATATTTACTAGAAAGAATTCTGTCAGTGCAAATTAAAAATAGCTTTTCAAAGCAGGTCAGGCTCGATTATGGAGT